AATGTGATGTGTGTGGGTGTGTGTGTGTGTGTGTGTGTGTGTCCAAGATCCTGAGAGGAGAATGAAGGAGAAGGGATTGGAGCCTGGCCATCCCGTCTGGGGGTGATTTCCTGCTATCTTTTTCTCTGTTTCTCTCTTTCTCTCTGGTGAACACATGCATCGTATAGCAAAAAATCTCTCTAAAAAAAGAGTTATCCAATTTATTATCAGTAATTTAATGGAATGCTTACAAAATTCAAAGAACAGATGAAATGGCTGGATGTTATTAACTCAAACAAGCTTGGGCATATTAAGTTTTCAAAACATAGGAAATATTGTACTCTTCCAAATCAGATGTGCTTAAAATGTTCAGAACTCACCTATGATAAAACTGCAAGAAATACAAATTGTCTTCTTTTCTTCTCATTATCTTCTAAAAAATGAAAAATCTGTAGGAGTCCAAGGAGTATGGTCCTCTGGTTTTGTGCCTTGACATAGTACACAGTTCAGTCATGAGAAAGGAGTGAAAATACTAATTCGGAGGTATTTTGAGTCTAGTGCAATGGTTTCTGGAATTTGCCTTGAACCCACACTCGGTGCATTTTCACTTGTTTTTTCCTATTAACTTGTAAGCGACGATCAACCAGATTTTGCTTTTCATCTAAACCAGCTTTGCAGAACATACTGTGGATTTCCTCTGTGAGATAAAAATGTCAATCAGGGATTGACAAGAAGAAGGGGACCAGGAAGAAGGGGAGGTCAGGAACAATAGAACATTGACAGAATGACTGACCATCTCAATTTCATTTACATCAAAAAACACTCTCTAGTCCAACTTCAGGAAAGAAACCTAGGAATCTAAGTGTTTTCTCTACTTTTCAAAAATACACCAAGTATAAACGGGCTAACATAGCAGGCATAAACAAATATATAAAACCACTGGCTGCAGTCTTCAATGTTTTGAAAGGTGACCCTCATTTATATTATAAATTTTTTTAAAGTTCATTTACTTTTTCTTTCCTTTTTTTTTTTTTTTTTGGAGGGTTTTTTTTTTTTTAGGGCTCGTGCTCT